TTAGTTTAATGGGAAGCAGATCTGCTTTGAGAATCACAAAAGAGGGGGATGCAGTGATGCGGCTAGGTTCTGGGTAGAGTTGAGGCCTTTCAACAAACAGTAGCTTTTCCCTGGGGCTATTTTGTGAAAATCTCACAGAGCCCAGCCTGGAGCCATTCTCAGGGTTTCTGTTTTTCAATTGATTGTGGAGTCTGCTAGAGAGAGGGGCAGCCTCTGGCTCTGGTTACCCAGTGTGGAAAGCCACTCCTATGGCTGGCGCCCGAGCTGGGTGACTTTTCCCTGGGTGGAGCTGAGTCTGGCAAGTTACCTCGCCATTAAGTTCTTGTGACCTGCTAAATGACTCGTTTTATTCCAAGGCCTGAGCTGGAGCTCGCAGCTCCGCGGAGCTTTGTCGGTATCCAAGATGGAGATCACCGGTGCTGGAGGGGTGGCCTTCTCTCCTCTGCTCCCTGAGAAGGAGTGAGGACATTGTCGGGCTTCTACTCACGCCAAGTCTTGGTTCCTGGGTTGTCTCTGGTCGGCAAACTGCAGGATGAAGATGTCTGCTCCTTGTCGGTTCTTGCTGGTGTTGAGTAGAATCTGCTCACCCAGACTGGTTCCTGGGTTGTCTCTGGTCCGCAAACTGCAGGATGAAGATGTCCGCTCCTTGTCGGTTCTTGCTGGTGTTGAGTAGAATCCGCTCACCTGCTGCGTCTGGCTCCTTCGTCCCAGACTCTGTGGCTCAGTTTTGGTACCCTGCAGTCGCCGCCGCGACCGCTGCTGCCGCCATGGCGGCTGCTGGCAAGCGCTCAGATGTGTCTCTTTGCCTTGGCTTCCCCTCTCTTGTCTAACTCTCTGTCTTGTGATGGCACACTTGGTGTGATTCTCTGGCTTAGGACTGTTCACTCGAACTCTAAAACTGCTTTCTATGCGAGAGCTTGTTCAGATTCCAGCTTCTCCTCCGCCATCTTCCCGGAACCTCCCAATTCTTCTTATGTATCCAAAGATCCTATATAAAGGACTTGCCTCTCTCCTCTTGGCCTAATCATGTTATGTATCAAAGATGGAATATGAAGGATTGACCCTCAGCCTATTGTCCCAGGCCGATATAGACTCCAGGCAAAATTCCAGGCATTTATTTGAACTCCTTTGAAGTGCAGGCTCAGCAATCCACCTAAGCCCCTTTGTAAGAATCTCATTGTGAGCCCAACTGAAACACCCCACTTTCCCTTTCATGGTGGCTTTTTCACTCACCTCTGCCTCAATGCTTGAGCCTCTTATAAAAACACAGCTCCTTTCTCAACACTCAGGCACAACCACCAACCCTGCAGGAAGGTCTGTGTCCCTTGCTGTTCTATCTCCATAGACAGTCCTCACCGATTTATGATTGGGTCCGGCCTATTCCTTTTCCATTCTCTTTCATTTTCCTAACAGTCTTCTTGGGATCCAGGGCAATGACCTTGGCCAGGCCCTCACTTGAATGCTAGGTGTGGATTGTTTCTTGGGGGCTCAGGTGGGAATGAGTCACCCTTGGTGAGCACACACCTGGTACTTTGCTTTACCCTGGGGAATTAGGCAGGACTCCATCCTTTATACTTCATCTGTTTGTGTGGCCATATATTAATTAGAAGCAGGAGCAAAGCCTGACCTCTCTGCTTCCATTTTGTTGATTTCTTTTGTCATCTTTTTTTGGGTGGGCCTGTCCTAGGGCCTAAACTAAGGACCTGGGCACTGTTTCTTAGTGTTTTATTTTGTGTTTTTTTCCTCCACTCAATACTGGCACTCTGCTGTTTGAGTCCCAGCTTGCCTTACCGTTTTCTGGTGGTTCATTTGTAAGAAGAATCTTAAAGACTTTCCCTCTCGAGATTGCCTTTGAACCCCAGTCACCAGATCTCAGTCTCCTGTGAATCTGGGATTATAGGAATGAGTCACAGGGCCTGGCTCTGCATCCTTGTTGAGTTTTTCATGGGTCTCTCCACAGTGTCTCTTACAATGAGCTTGGGATTCAGTGAGGACAGAACTGATGGAAACATCTTTCTGACAAGGGGCTGAAATGACCTGTGAGAAACAGTAGTGCCATACGGGGCAGCAGAGCACCCCCAAATGAGGACAAGGGCCAGGCTGGACAGTAAGCCACAGTGCCCTTCCTATGGGAGCCAGTGACTCCCTCCCATTCACAACAGAGATAATGATTTCTCCAGAAACCACAATGCAGAGAACTAGAACGGAGAGAGACACCAGCCAAGATCACTTGTAGCTGAAGTCCACAGTTCAATTCCAGCCAGGGTGGGAATGTAACCGAGAGTCTTGTTATTTGTTTTGTGCCAGTCCTGGATCTTAGACACTGTCCCAGCCCTTGTCAATTTTTTTTTTGCTCAAGGCTGGTGCTGTGCCACTTGAACCATTTTTCAGGGGTTCATTGGCCATGAGAGTCTTATGAACTTTCCTACTACAGGTGGGTTTGAACCACAGTTCTCAAATCTCAGCCTCCCGAGTAGCTGGGATGATAGGTATGAGCTACCAGTGCTGGGCCTGTGTAATTGGAAGCTCCTGTTAACCACCAGAAATAATCCAGAAGTGGAGCTGTGGCTCAAGTAGTAGAGCACCAACCTTGAGAAAACACTGAGACAGGGCCCAGGCCCTGAGTGCAAGCCCCATGCTGAAACAATCAATAAATAATAAATAAAGCAAGCTTTGGTGTACTTTAATTGATCCAGAGGATCTAACCAGGAGATAAGATGCACTTTTGAAGCAGTAGACGAGCCTCAGGCAATAATGTCTTTTACTTGTGTTCCTTTTCTTCCTGTGTCTTGGCATTTCTGGCAGTGTACTATGGGCAGGATTGAATGTGCCTGAATTTTCTTTTTGGCCTTCTTCTCCTTCTCCTCCTCCTCCTCCTCCTCCTCCTCTTCCTTCTTCTTCTTCTTCTCCTCCTCCTCCTCCTCCTTCTTCTTCTTCTTTCTTCTTCTTCTTTTTCTCCTTCTCCTCCTCCTTCTCCTCCTTCTCCTTCTCCTTTTTTTGTCAGTCTTGGGGCTTGAACTCAGGGCCTGGACACTGTCCCTAAACTTCTTTTGCTCAAGGCTCGGGCTCTACCACTTGAGCCACAGCATCCCTTGCATCCTTTTCTGTGTTTATGGTACTGAGAAATCGAACCCATGGCTTCATGCATGCCAGGCAAGCGCTCTACCACTGAGCCACATTCCCAGACCACAAAGGCATTTATATACAAGTTATATTATGAGATAGAGAAGCTTTATACTTTGCTATTTTATGCTTGTTAGGAATCATCAGTACAGTGTAGCTGCTGGTAGCTCATGCCTGTATTCCTAGCTACTGAGGTGGCTGAGATCTGAAGATCATGGTTCAAAACCAGCCAAAGGTACTTTGTTATCAACTAGCCAGGCACTACAGGGTGGCTCTTGGCAACTCTGGAGCCTGAGATCAGTGAATAGAAGTTCAAATCCAGCCTGGGCAGACGAATTGGAGACACTGATGTCTAATTAGCCAGCAAAAAGCTGGAAGTAGAGCCGTGGCTCCAAGCGGCAGAGCAGTAGTATTGAATGAAAAAGCCCAGAGGCAGTGCCCAGGCCCTGAGTTCAAGCTCTAGGCCCAAAAAAGGATAACCAAAAACAATGCAGCAACTGTATATAGCAAATTATAAAGCTTCTCTTTGTGGCAGGCCTGTTGTTTCCTGCCCTCTACGGTAGTCAATAGATTGTAAAGGCACATGGTGGACCTTTGAATACTTCTACTTCCTTTATGGCTAAGGAGCCATGAAGCGACTTTTCCTCTGCAGGTTGTGAACCTGAGCTCAGCCAATGGGAGGAGAGGGGCCTCAGCTTAGCCATTGGTAGCTGAGGGGCAGGGCCTGCCACATGAACTATGAAAAGGGAGCTGACTGCTGCCTCTGGCCCAGGGGCTTTCTTCAGGAGGCAGTTTTTCCTTACCTGTCAGGGTGCTTATTCTTCCAGATAAGGCGGTATTTTAATATATGCATCAATCGAGGGGGGCCCAATATGGCGATGAGATAGTAGGGAAATGCCACAGCTCTCTCCAAACAAAAAGAGAGTTCAAGCTTCTATGCTTCAATTCCCCAAGTGACCAACAACAACTCAAATATGAACACCCAGAGAAAAACAGGAGTGGGGGAAAACCAAAAAAGAAAGAAAGAAAAGGAAGAACTTCAAAACAGAGAAGTGAGAGGACCCCTCTCCTAACCATTACTTTCTGTGCGGTCATGTGCCAAGCCATGGCAAGCCTGGCCCAGTAGGGGCTGCCGGAGTCCCTAGACACACAGGGCTCGTTTGCAGGTCCGTCAGGCAGAAGACCCTTGAGATACCAGTGTCTGACCTGCTGATGGCAAAGAACAGAGAAACCTCCGCGCCCAGAACCAGCACAAAGACCCCACCCTCACGCCTCACTCGCCCAGCAGAGGGCTCCATCCCACCAAAGCCACTTGGCCCCATGGTGGGAACCCCAGAACTACATGGGTCACCCCCAGAACGCCAGAGCACAAGACTAGAGGGAATCAGGGAAAAACATACAACAGCGGGACCCATCAGCTGCACTGGACATTGATCAAAATGAACAAAGCAACTCAAACGCAGCGATGGGAGGGAGGGAACAAGTTAGAAAGAGGGAACAGCTGACGCTATGCAAAACAAAAGACACGTACATATCACCCAATGTGGAAGAAATAACTGTATTGTAAAGTTCATAGGACTCATAACTGTTATACACCTTGACACACAATTTGCTCCATGAAAGTTAGAATGTGTTTGTGATTTTAATTGAGCATCACTATCCCACAATACTGTGAAATTTGAGAAATTATGTAACCACTTAATCACAATAAAATATTTGAAAAATAATAAAGAAATAAAAACTTTGAAAAATATATATGCATCTATTTTTCTATCTATCCATCCATCCATCCATCCATCCATCCATCCATCCATCTCGACCCTATCTATATCTACACAGAATATGTAGATATTCTAATAAAATATCTGCATATATATCTGCCCAGTCAGGATGAGAGGCATGAGCCCCAGCCAGGAGACCCCATGCAGCAAGGACCCCGAGGTCGCTGCACACTGCACGTAGCTGCTCGGCTTGCTGCAGATCCACTTGCGCTCCGTGTAGAACCGCCCGCTGCTGATGCCCACTCCATTCAGATAGGCGCACTCCCCAGTTCCCCTCACCTCAGCCCTAGAAACAAGCAGAGAAATAGCACATATTCAAATTGAAAATATAATTTCTTTTTTCTTTTTATCTGTCCTGAGCTAAAATCAGGGTCTGGGCGCTGTCCCTGTGCTCCCTTTGCTCAAGGATGGTGCTTTACCACTTGAACCACAGCACCATTTCTATTTTTCTGGTGGTTCGTTGGACATAAAGAGTCTCACAGACTTTCCTGTCCAGGCTGGCCTCGAAACTCGAGCCTCACATCTCAGCCTCCTGAGTGGTTACCATTCCAGGATTGAGACATCAGCACCCATTTTATACTAGTTTTTTGCCATTATTATTTTTTTTTGTTGGTCATGGGGCTTGAATTCTGGGCCTGGGCATTGCCCTGAGCTCTTCAGTTCTCAAGGCTAGTGCTCTACCGCTTGAGTACAGCATCATTTCCAGTGGTTCATTGGACATAAGAGTCTCACGGATTTTCCTGCACTGGCTAGTTTTGAAACAGGATCATCAGATCTCAGCCTCCTGAGTAGCTGGGATGACAGGCATGAGACACCGGGGCCTGGATTTGCCACTATTTTTGCTCCTCCATCCTGGTTTTGGTGTTTAGTTTTTGTGTGTGTGTGCACTGGTCCAGAGGTTTGAACTCAGGGACCTGCACTCTGTTCCTCAGCTTTTGCTCTCTAGCACTTGAACCACAGCTCCACTACCAGTGTTTTGGTGGTAAAGGGGAGTTGAGGGTCTCACAGACTGGGGCTGAGAGTGTGGCTCAGTGGTAGAGTGCTTGTCTACCATGCATGAAGCCCTGAGTTCGATTCCCCAGAACCCCATACACATACACAGAAAAATCCAGAAGTGGCACTGTGGCTCAAGTGGTAGAGTGCTAGCCTTGTGCCAAAGAAGCTCAGGGACAGCACCCAGGCCTAGAGTTCAAGCCCCAGGATGGGCACAAAATAAAGAAACACAAAGATGGCTGATACATACAAGTTGTTGAACTCGGTGTTGTCTGCCCACTTCCAACTATGCTGTGGAGATTTTCTTCTAAGGCCAATCCAATGGTCATATGAAATTCTGTGTCTTTCCAAGAAATTCTGTAATAACACACAGTAAGTTGAAAATATGAGTCCTTATCTTTCAGATGATTTTTTTTCTTTTTCCGTCTCTTTTCCCCCAGGCCAGGGGCTGATTTTGATCTGTGATCTCACTTCTCACCTCCGGAGTAGCTATTTATTAGGTGTAATTATTTCTTTGCCATTTTATTTTCATGGGTGTGTATATGCGAATACTGGGCTTGAACTCAGGGCCTGAGCACTCAGGGTCTGAGCTGCTTTTGCTCAAGACTAGTGCTCTACCACTAAGCCACACTCCCAGCCCTGTCCTTCAGCTCTCTTATTCAAGGCTTTAACACTTGAGCCACAGCTCTCTTTCCAGCTCTTTTTGGCTGGTTAACTAGAGACAAGAGTCTCACTGAGGTTCTTGCACAGGTTGGCTTGGAAATCACGATCCTCAGATCTCAGCCTCCTGAGGAGCTGGGATTATAGGTGTGAGCCACTGGCACTCTCCCCTTCATTCTCTTTTAGCTTTCACCTTATACAACCTGTCCAATTTCGGGGTGTCTTTTAGCATGTCACAGAAAAGAGGAGCCCCAAAAGCATTTCTTACCAACTCCTCCTTGCTGTCAAACTTGACCAGATTGGCACCAAAGGATGCACAGAAGTCCTGACTGGAGGTCCAGTTCCTTATATCATCAGAAAAATAATAACATTGATTACCAAATCCAATCCAGTCTTCCTGGCAAGAGGAAAACAGCCTTGTCTCGGGAATGCGGCTTTCTGTTGGGTTCACTAACACACAGACAATGGATTAGCTGCTCATCAACCATTCCTTTCCCTGCCCAGACCCCAGGCCTACCGCACATTCTGCATTGGAAGCCACTCACCTGCCATTAGCACAGCAACAAGTCCAAGTACAGTTGCAAGCAGAACAACATTAATGAGCACAGAGCAGTAAAATTTGCTGTGTGTGATGGGTGACAGAATTCCTAGGCATTTTCCTGGGAGAGCTTTAACTGGAAACATAGAAATAGGAGATTTGACTCTAATAAAAAACGTAGAAGGAAGACAGTCCCCATATGCATGAAGCCCTGGGTTTGATTCCTCAGTACCAGGTACACAGGAAAGGCCAGAAGTTGCGCTGTGGCTCAAGTGGTAGGCCAGCCTTGATAGACAAAGCTGAGGGACAGCGCCCAGCCCCTGAGTTCAAGCCCCAGCATGATCATATAATATATGATATCTGCTATTAATATGTCATAACATATGACGTATTATCTAGTATATGCTCTCATTAATACATAATGTGTATAACAAGATATAACAGTGTATACTGCAGTACACTATATAATATTACACTATATATGCTCTTATTCTACCTACTATGGTACATTATGTAGTATAATTTTACATATTGTGTTTTATCTCATAAATTTTACAATATAAGGTATATTATGTAAAGTTTAATATAATCAGGTAATCTACATAATATTTTATATAAGATGGAAAAGAATACTATCTAGTATATATCATATAATATACTATATAATATGAAGTATATTTAACGTGAAATAACAATATTTGTAAGAAGATACAAATAAATTATAAAATTAAAAACAATATAAAATATAACAGTATGATATAAATTTTATAATATAAAGTATATATTCTATGTATGGTATATAGCATATCTATCATACATGTATACTATATGATGCTATATTATATATGATATATTATATTATATTATTATATTGTATTATATTTTTATGTTATATATTATATAAATAAATGCATATTATATATGAGTATATATAATATATTATATAATATATATAAATATATATTATATCATATATGATAGAGTATATATACTATATATTATATTATATATGCTATATGCTATAATATGTAATATATAGTATTTAAAGTGATACATTATGTTGTTAGATATCCTACATAAATACTATATTATTTGGTATGATATATTGCATAAAACATGTCTATGGTAAGTTATGATACATGTTATACGGTATATATATGTATATATAAACACAATGAGCAATCTTTATGTAAGTATTTTATTGTCACATTGAACTAAACACACAGGGACTCCAGCTGGAATGGAATTTGCATGCATTCTTTCTGGAAACACCAATGGCCCAACCATTTAAGGACATTATTGAGCAGGTATGCCTGTTTACCCTCTTCACCAGTTACCTTCCACATTTACCCAAAAGTCATGGGCACCTCCTCCTACACACAGATGCTTCCTGCAATTTCTTTTGTACTTACTCTAGCCCCTCCCTATGTTTGCTGGATTTCTGCCTCTCAGTTTAAAGCAAGCACTAGAGCATGAGGAAGATAAAAGCCTCTGACACCTTATTATTTTTCGAGAATCTGACCAAAAGAACTAAGTTTACTATTGAGACTTGTTTAAAGGAATCAACAGGTGATAATTTAACTATGTCACCCACAATTTCCTGCTAGCTTGGCTCTGTGTGTGTGTGTGTGTGTGTGTGTGTGTGTACTAGTACCTTGAGCCACGATCATTTTTATTTATTTATTTATTTTTAATTTTTTTCTTGTGAAAATACTGTACAGATGGGTTACAATTAAATGGGCAAGATAATGAGTCCATTTCTTATCAAGCATTGTAGCCTCCTTCTTTGTTTCCCCTTCCCATCCCTTCCCAATCTCCCCCTGCCCCCCCACCCAATCCTCCCTGTTCCCCATCCCCCCATTTTTTGCCCAGGTTTGCTGCTTGACCTCTACAGCCAGGCCTTGAGCCCAGCTAGTTGGTGATTTACTGGGACTTCCCCACCTCAGCTGGCTACAAATGATGATCCTCAGATCTCAGCTTCCTGAGTAGCTAGGATGGCAGTATGAACCACTAACTTAAGAGTAATTCTTTGCATTTATAACAGAGTAAGAGGGGATATCTATCTTTGGAATTATGGGTTTTTTTCATTTTTACTTGATATACACTACTTATATGAGTTTATTTTTCTTCTGCTTTTGTTAGTTTGGGTAGTTTTCTCTTCCCTTCCAAATTCTTATGCCACTCATTCTATCCTCAGAACACAGTCACCCTCAAATTCTGTTAGAAAAGAGGAAAATTGTTTTCTAAAAGAACAAAGAAGTCAGGTACCCATGGCTCACATCTGTCATCCCAGCTATTCAGGAGGCTGAGCTCTGAGGATCACAGCTTGAAGCCAGCCCAGGCAGGAAAGTCTATGGGACTCTTATCTGCAATGATCCAGCAAAAAGATACAAATAGAGGTGTGGTTCAAGAGATAGAGTGCCAGTTTTCAGCACCAAAGTTCAGAGACCAAATGCAGGCATTGATTTCAAGCCCTAGGACTGGCACACAGACAAAACAAGGAAGAAAGACATGACAGGCTGAAAGTATGAAACCTATTGTATAAGCATTACCTTTTGCACTAGGTTTTGCCACGTTTGCGAACGTCGGAACTTGCTGATATCTGCTAGGAGAACAAAATGGATTTTTTTTCCAAATACAGAAATTTCCCATTCTGGCAATTGACCCAAACCAAAAGGAAAAAAAGTCAGATCTCTATTTCTGATTTTTCACATAATTCTTTTTGGTGAAGAAAAAAAAATCATTCTCCCCATGGCTATATGAGTATCATCTGAAGCTGGGATTTGCGTCTGGCAGGAATTCAGCGAAATGTATTCTCCAGATTCTTACATGTTTTAGTAGTTACAAAAGAATTACAAGCCAAAAGCTCTTCCCAGTTTTGCAGATTTGTGTGTGTGCGCGCGCGCGCACGCGCGCGCATGCACACACATGCACGCACACACATGCACGAGCAAGTCCTGGGCCTTGAACTCAAGGCCTAGGCACTGTCCTTAGATTTTTTTTCAAACTTCAGGCTGGCACTCTACCACTTGTGTCACACCTCTGCTTCTGTCTTTTGCTGGTTAATCAGAGATAAGAACTTCACTGACTTTTCATGCCTGGACTGGCCTTAAGCAGTGATCCTCAGATCTCAGCTAGGATGACAGGCATGAGCCAACAATGCCCTGCTTCAGGACAAATTCTGCAAGGGTTGCAATACACATTGCAAGATTATGATGACTAGTTTGCAATCCTGCCCCAGTGCAAAGGAACTTAGGTACCAACTATTCTGGGAAAGAGAAAAAGTGGAAGAAGAAGGAAGAGGAGAATAAGTTAGAAGAAAGAAGAAAGAGGAGGAAGCAAGTAATAGAAACACAAATTTGCTCCCCCTCCAACCCACTTCCCATTCATTTCTAGCCACAAAAATGTTACCCCAACTCAAGTGACACATCACAGATCCAACCTTCCCTCCCTCCATCCCAAATTGAGCTGCCTTTGTGGCAGATTGCAATCTTAAGGAGCCTGACCTGGAATTGTCTGCCTTGGGACTCATGAATGGGGTTACCTGCTTACCTGTTTTCCTGCTTTCTGGGTCCTCTGTGGAAGAGAAATCTCTCTGTAACATTCCCACTGAAGTTTCCAGAGATATCATTTTTTTTTCCTCCTGGCTCTTTTTAGGCAGAACGACTGGAGCTGGGACTCATGGATGTAACCTTGGAGCTAGCCATGATTACATGTGCTGGATAAATATGTTTCCAAACAGCCAGATGCTTTTCCTGCTTCCTAACCCTGAGAGAGAAAAGAAAACAAAACCAACCCAGGAGAGGAATTAGGATATGAAGAATGAACTAGAAATGATATGATCCATAGGTTCAGAATAAATTTAAAACGCCCCATTACCTCTCCATTTCCACACATTGCAACCACACATTCCAGAATAGAACAATGGGGAGGGGGGAGGAAGGCGGGTTGGTTGGCAGGGAGAATTTCCAGCTGAGATCCGTTAAAATAATATTTTTTTTAAAAAAGCCTGGCACCTAAGCTGAGATCCATTTTTTTAAAAAATAATAATGAAGCCAGACAGGCAGCTGATAGGCTCAGAGGCTGAGATCTTATCTTGAACATCTGGGATCAAAAGAATCTAAGAGGAAATTTTGTGAAATTGTTCAACTCCTTAACCACCAAAAACTCCTTAACCACCAAAAAGTTATGTGGAGCAGAGGTGGTTTACATGGTACGGTGCCAGCCTCGAGTGGAAAAGCTCAAAGATAGCACACTTTAATAATAATAATAATAAATTTAAAATAGAAGCAAAAAAACAAAACACACATGGAAAAAGAGCCCACAGAAATAAATAAATTCCTAAAGCATGAAGAGATAGGAGTTTGACTCAAATAATAGAGTTGCCTAAGAAAGAAAAGAACAAAACTGAAAAAGCAGATTCTAACTACTAGTAACAGGCACACAGCTGTGAGCTGGACAATGCTTAAGTCCACAGGTTATTCTAAGGTCAGACGCAGGACAGCTCTGCAAACGGGCCCAGAGCAGAGAGGAAACTGCTCAAAACAGTCAGTGTAGCACGCAGACTCAGTACTCACACACCTGAAGAGAGTCTCACACAGAATAGTTGATCTCTAGAAGCCGATCTGTGCCAGAGAAACGAAGAAAACCCCACATAAATAGCAGCTGTGATCCCGAAAAACACACACCCGAGCTAAGTCCACGGAAGTGCAAGACACTTGCAGATAAATACTGCTGCTTCTAGTTGTGCAAGTTCCCCAGCACCTTTGACCACAATAACAAATATATATTACGTAATATAAATATATACATACATTGCATATACATATATATTGATAACATATTTTAAACAAAACGCAAACTTAGTGAAAGTCTGGGCTGCACTGCAGGTGTAGCTCAACTGTCAAAGCCAGTGTAAAGTCTAGACTTCAAAGCCTGCTACAGTAAAATAAAAACGCAGCGAGCATGGTGGCTGGTATATAATAATAATAAAAATAATAATAATAATAATTGT